CCTATTTTCTCTCTATTTCCCTCTCTCTGTCCTCTCTCTCTTTCTCTTTCTCTGTCCCCTCCCTCTATTTTTCTCTGTCCCTCTGTCTTTCTCTCTCTTTTCTGTCCTCTCTATTTTCTCTCTGTCCCTCTCTATTTTCTCTCTGTCCCTCTCTCTTTTCTCTCTGTCCCTCTCTATTTTCTCTCTGTCCCTCTCTATTTTCTCTCTGTCCCTCTCTATTTTCTCTCTGTCCCTCTCTATTTTCTCTCTGCCCCTCTCTATTTTCTCTCTGTCCTGCTGTCTTTTCTCTCTGTCCCTCTCTATTTTCTCTCTGTCCCTGTCCCTCTATTTTTCTCTGCCCTCTTTCTCTCTCTGTTATTTTCTCTCTGTCCCTCTCTATTTTCTCTCTCTCCCTCTCTCTTTTCACTCTGTCCCTAGCTCGGAAACTCTCCTGATTTAAATCCAATCGAGAATCTATGGTCAATCTGCAAGGAACGATTTCGTGGAATGGCCATACGAAGTACTAACATGTCCACTGGGTCATATTTCATTGGAAAAATACAAAAATAGTAAATAATAACAGAATTATTCGTTTTGTTTCAATTAATTTGCACAAGGGTGTATCTCTCCTGTAGACAGCTCATTCTTAAAACTAGTGAAGGTTTTCTTGCTGAAGAATTTAGCAGCTACAAAGTGTTTAGTAGGAGACTATCTGTTCATTATATCAACACATATGCAGTCATACACTTCCTTTGCTTCTGCCATGAGTGTCTTTCAAAGATTCTCACAGTTTATTATTTCTAAAATAGTGGTTTTGAAATCTGTTATATATTCATTGACTTTAAATACTTCTCGAGTTTGCATTTAGTTGTAAATTAATTCAACATGAGACATAATCTGTAATAAAATATCGAACCAAAACATGAAATTATTATCCATCTGATATTGTAAAATTTCCGTTGCTTCTAGTTTGGTCTGCATGTAACGTTGACTGAATTTCAGTAAGGCAGCTATTTAAAGTCTGTCTATATATCTGTGATGAGATATTAGGATTATTTACATTCATTCAGACTGTTATCCTCATCTTCATCGCTATATTCACAACGTTTTGGTCATTGTACGCTCCGACCCAAACAGTTGTGGGCAGTGGTGAACTTGGAGAATTGATTTAAATGGAAATAACTGAGACATCCGAAAGAGGCATGGAACGTGGAACTAGAACTATCTGGACTCTCCCAGCTATAAATAGAAGAGGGAAGTTTCCAGCAGTCAATTCTAACAGTCGGGCCGAACAATCTTGCTGCAATACTCCCGTTTGTATATGTTTGTATTACTGTTTCTGTTAGTATATTTGTTTAACTTAGTGCCTCCCTTGTGTCTTTATTTCTGGCCCTAACAAGGCCACAACAGGAATATAGATAGATCCTGAAAAGGCTGGAGCGTATAACGGCCGAAACGTTATGAATATGGCAAAGAAGATGAGCACAACAGTCTGAAAAATGTAAATAGTGTAAATAATTACAATACCTAATCTCAGAAATATAGATCGATCTGTTATGGTCCGGTTCCTTGTACTACGGTGATAGTCCAAGGTAGAACCAATAAAGAAGAACTCGAACACGTATATGGAATAACACAGATATATTAAAAACAGGAATATATACAGAGAAGTAGAAAGTGTTGGTACGAACAATCAGGTTTAGTAGAGAGAACAATGTAGTCTCGACCAGTATCACTATTCCAATGTCTTGCAGTAATTGTCTGAACGCGACTCTGTTTCGGACTGCCTCTGACTCGACTCTTGACTCGACTTGAACTACTGACTCCCTGCCTACTCCTGAGGCTCAGTATTTATTAAGTATGTATTATGGGTAAGATCCCATAACAGATCTTGAAGAAGGCATGAGCGTATAACGGCCGAAATGTTGCGAATATGGCAATGAAAGTGAGGACAACAGTCTGAACAAATTAAACAGTGTAAATAATTGCAATACCGCATCTCATAAATATATATAGAGATCTTGATGAAGCCCAGAATCTCCCGCAGTGAGAGAGCGACTGTAGACGAGATGCCAGATCAGGACCAACCACATTGCTTATCCGGCTCTGAACTTGTGAATGAATGAAATGTGCATTACTATAAACAGCTTTTATATTTTTTTTTTTTTTTTTTTTTGCTTTTCATGACATTTTGCACTGTCAAATGTTTGAACTATCAGTTTTTGTTCATTTCCTTCAAGGGGTTTGCCGAATTATTCTATACTTTCTTTTCTTTTCTATTCGTTTCCTTTCTTTTTGCTGATGTTTAAGTTCATTTTCTTTGCTACGCCATCTCCATTTAAATGTTGGGGCGCTTCCAACTCGTTTTGGTTCAAACGTCAAATAGTAAACGGCGGTGAATTTCGATGGGATGAAAATCGTTTCGTTTACATTCATTTGTATTCTTTTTTCCTGTCTGTCAGTCTATGACATATTTTCATATCTTTCTAAATGTAATCGTATCTATCTATCTATCTATCTATCTATCTATCTATCTATCTATCTATCTAGTGAGCTAAGTAGCTATCTCAGTCTGCTCGCTATCCATCTATCTTAGTTTATTCACATATGTATCTGTCTATCTTATATTTATTATATATATATATATATATATATATATATATATATATATACCAAGCAATAAAAGCACTTTTTTATCTATTTCACATCTATCAATAACTATCTATCTATCTATCTATCTCAGTCTGTTTGGATCTATCTATCTATCTATCTATCTATCTATCTATCTATCTATCTATCTCAGCTTATTCATATGTCAGTCTCTGATGATATCTATCAGGTTTCTTTTATCATTTCACGCCAAGCAAGGCAATAAATCTATCTAGACGTTGTCTTAGTTTAAAAACAAAAAATGTACTTCTTGTTATGATCGATCCGCCTTTTTTCAATATATAGAATTTATATTTATATAATATATATATATATATATATCTCGCCAAAGATAAATCTTTTTATAAATTTAACAACCTGTAATGGCTCGTTAAGCTGTAGAGCAATGAAAACGAATAAAAAGTTAGATAGATAACGTTTCTATCTGTCTAAATTTTAATTCCTTGATTCATTATATATTTATATATATAATAAGCCACAGATACAGGTTTTAAACAATTTAAATGGATAGCGAAGATTTATCTTTCACTAGATAATAATGATATATTATAGAAGATAGATATTATTAGAAACCTCTGAATAATAGATAGATAGATAATTGAGAGAAAAAGGCCGTTTGTTATCGGATGAAATGATAAAAACCTTGACATAGTTATATTTGTATTTATTATATATATATATATATATATATAAGATAACGATCATATGTTAATAAACTAAGACAGATAGATGGATTTATTGCAGACTGAGATAGCTACTTAGTGAAATGATATAATAGAAAGATAGATAGATAGATAGATAGATAGATGAATACAGAATGATAGATGAGATAGATAGATAGATAGATAGATAGATAGATAGATCAAAGATAGATGAGATAGATAAACAGACTGAGCTAGATAGATAGATAGATAGATAGATAGATAGATAGATAGATAGATAGATAGAAATAGACTTATATACATATAAATAGTGAGATAGATAAATATGAACAAATTTGGCACATTGGGATTATCCTTTAATTTTTATAAAGAGAACATTTTTTTCCAGAAATAAATGAGTTTGTCTGTCCAGATCTTTCAAATTTTCATTGATCAAAACCACTAAAATTTTTATCAATTTTGAAAAAATGCATTTATTTTGCGACGTTTCTTAAAACACCATAATAAAATTGAACTTCGTCATATTTGCTCATTTTTGATTCCGAATATGAACGGATAGTAACGAATGTATCTTGGGAAATTCCAAGACAACATTTCTCAACTAACTCTTTTTTTTTTTTTTTTTTTTTGGCATTCAACAAAATCGAATGTAAATGCCCAAATAACAATCACACTCAACTCTGTCCTCGACGACAGCAGGAAACCTCGCGAAAAGCGTTTTTTTAATCGATTGATTGAATGCTAAATAAACAGTAGGCCAAGAAATTAAGGTTTTAAGTTTCTCCAGCTTACATTTGTTAGTTCTGTTGTCATTGGAGATTAAGAAAAAGTGAGCAATTCTAATGAAGTTAAACTTTATTCATTCGTACGATAGATTCGTTGCTAGTTTTAAAACAGCGAAAGAAAAACATGGGGACAAATTTAAATGAATCGCGAAGTGGGATGAAAGGAGCGAAAAAGGTAAGAAAAGTCTATTTAAGAGGCAGTTTTCAACTCCAGCTCAGTATTACTCAGCGCATGCGCAATTCGTTTTGCAGACAGACTGACTCGTAACCCATATTTGAATAAACTTACAAAGTTGATCATTTCTTTTTCTGTATTTGATTTAATGATTTTCAAAGTTTTTTTCTTTTCTTTTCTTTTCTCTTTCTTTCTTTTCTCTTCCTTTCTTTTTTGCTGATGTTTAAGTTCATTTTCTTTGCTACGCCATCTCGATTTAAATGTTGCGACGCTTCCAACTTGTTTTGGTTCAAACGTCAAATAGTAAACGGCGGTGACTTCCGATGGGATGAAAATCGTTTCGTTTACATTCATTTGTATTCTTTTTCTGTCTGTATTCCTTTTTCTTTTTTCGACTGCGATGACGATTTTTTTTTCATATCTATCTATCTATCTATCTATCTATCTATCTATCTATCTATCTATCTATCTATCTATCTATCTATCTCAGTCTATTCATTATCTATCTATCTATTTATCTATCTCAGTCTTTTCATTGTCTATCTATCTACCTATCTCGGTGTGTTCGTTATCTAACTATTGATCTCTATTCATTATCTCTCTATCTATCTATCTATCTATCTATCTATCTATCTATCTATCTATCTATCTCAGACTTTTCATTATCCATGTATCTATCTTGATCTGTTTCTTATCTATCTAAAATCGTTCATCTATTGATCTCGTTTAATGTTGTTTATCTATCTATTTATCGATTCAAAATCTAAATCTATCTATCTATCTATCTATCTGTCTCGGTCTGTTCATTATCTATTTTAAAATCAAGTTCAGAATATTATCAGTTTTATCCTATCTATCTATTTTCATATATCTATCTCATAAAATCATTTCCCCTGCCATCCATAAATGAAAATAGACTTATATAAACGCACTACTTAATTATTTTCAACTTAAAACCTTCCGCATCCATGCAGAAGATTTAACATAAAATGGTATAAATTTCGTTTAATTTTGTTTCCAACTCAATGATGCAAAATTTACGTTCGATTCAAAATATAAAGTTTCCTATTTAATTACTGAACAAAAATGTCTCATATGTTTTTGCCTGTCTGTAATTTAAAGTCAAGTTCAGAATAACGTACCAGATTTTCACGTATCTCAAGTATTATTCGTACTAATTATCTAATAATTATAATATATTTTGCGTTGAAAGTAGAATGAAAAGAAAAAAAGCCAAATTCATTGGTTAATTTTGAAATCACAGGAAAGTTTAAAGCTGTGGTTCTCAAACGAGCCAAAAAGGCCATGATGGTCTCTTTGTATTTCTAAAATTCATGAAAGAGCACCACTGGTGGACCGCCGTAATATTTAATTTTTACATATTCAAAACTTTTACTGCAATTCACGTGAAGGAAGCTTAAAAAGGCCATTAATTTGGTCTCTAAACAAACCTCCAAAATCATGGCGTCCATGAAAGAGAAACATTCTGGTGGACCCCGGACGTAATATTTAATTCTAACATATTCAAAAATTTTCACTGCAATTCACGTGAAGAAAGCTTAAAAAGGCCATTAATTTGGTCTCTAAACAAAACTCCAAAGATCATGGCACCCAAGAAAGAGAAAAATTAAAAAAAAATAAAAACAAAAATACAGTTAAATATATATAATTTCAAAATATATAATAGAGAACTGAAAGGCAGAAATATAAAATATTTGAATGAAGCTTTATTCTATAATATACTTTGATCATTTTAATCATGAAATAATAATGCAAAGTGAAATTTGAGATCATCTCAAAATGATTGTTAGTGAGATCATTTTGCGTTATGCCTGCTGCAGATAGCCTCTGTTAACCGAAACACTGGGAGATTGAAAATACCCTGTACGCCAATTACACATGTACGTACATAAACACAAAATATTTTTATGTATGTATACTTGTATATGCGTCGTATGTATTAACAGACATGAACATTAACACACTCACTCACTAGAAAACAAGTCACTGTTGATAACTCATTCTCGAATTGCCCCTTTATTCTGTTGGTATGTTAAACCGAAGGGGGAACGATCTACGCATGCCCCACCAAAATATAACCATGCTCCACCGGTGAGGCATGCGCTTTCAACTGTTGGGTGGTTGAACAGGCAATGAAAACTGATGCTGCCAATATAGTATTTGGAGTATTAAAAAGATATTTCAACATATTCTTTCCGAAAAAAAAATATTCAAAGGAGATATAAAATAAAATAGATGTGGTAAGTTACGGCAAGAGTTTGTTAAGTTTGGGGGAAACATCTAACTGATTGCTCTCCCATCTCCTGTGGTCGTAACAGGTACAGAGGGGAAAAGAGACGAGAGGTAACAAAATTAACACTGCCTCGGAAATCACAGCAACTTGAGGAACAAAAAATGCCGATGGGACCTACTTCACAAGACACCGTGTCTTGCCGACTGCTAATTCCCCCCCTGCTTTTATTGGCACGAGACATCTTACAGAGAAACGGATCTTGACCAATTGTAGAGAGGTCTGTATTTAGATATGCCAAGCTATCCTGCTGCTAACGTGAAAAAAGCCGGAGGTTTTGCTAAATATGTCCGAATGCGATCCGCTGCCTCATTTACATTTTACACTGACGCGAGTTCTATACAATAAAACAGGATGTAAAATGGAAACAACAAAAGCCGCATTCATGGGTCAATTTTAAAACCGTAGGAATAAAGCCAATGAATAATAATAATTTAGAAAATTTAGAAAAACAGCATATGCCACCAGTGGAAAGAAAGAGATAAGATTTAGGTTAGGTAATGACCTTGATTTTATGTTTGTTTTTGTTTTTTGTTTCTTTAAATAATTCATGGCTATCAAGGCGATAAAGCCACTAAGATGCAATTGGCTACTGAGAGTAAAAGAGAGGGAACAGGACTTTAGAAGGAACCGGAAACCCAATCCTAAACATGAAATAAACTTCTACTCCTGTTCAAAAGACCGGAGAGGTGTTTGAACAGGACTATCGGAGAACCTATTTACACCTATGTCGAATATAAGTCTTATGGGGTAAAAATCGTGACGAAATAACGCACAAGTAGATATAGGTCTGATCTGCACGTCAGTCAAAATGTTGGACACCGGTTTCCTTAGTACGAGAAACCAAAAGGCAGACATAGTTTCGTTATTTTTTTTGGTGGGGGTTATTAGGTGATTTTGGGGTTCTTTTTTGTTTTCTTTCGTTTTTTGGGATTTTTTTTTTGTTTTATGTTTTTTTGTTTTTGGGGTTTTTTTTGTTTATTTTTTTTGCTTTTTGGATTTTGTTGGGGTTTTTTTGTTTTTTATTTTTTTTTGTTTTTTATTTTGTTTCTTGGGTTATTAGGTTTTTTTGGGGTTCTTTTTTTTGTTTTCTTTTTGTTTTTTTCGTTTTTTGTGGGGGTGTTTTTGTTTGTTTTTTTTCATTTTGGAGTTTTTTTTTTGCTTTGGGTTTTTTTTTTTGCTTTTTGGGTTTTTTGTTTGTTATTTATGTTTTTTTTTTGTTTTTGTGTTGTTTTTTGGGTTTTTGTTGTTTTGGGGTTCTTTTTTGTTGTTGTTTTTTGTTTTTGGAGTTTTTTGCTTTTTGTTTTTTTTTTTTTTCGTTTTTTATTGTTTTTATTTTTTGTTTTTTGCTTCTTTTTCTAATTCTTTGGAGTTTTCTTTTCAAATCTTTTTTTTGTTTTTTTGTTCATTTATTCTTTCTATTCTCATTGTCTCCCATTCATAATATTTTATTACAAATCTATAATTTTCCTTTGAGTCTCTTTTGCGATCATTTTTTCATTTCTTTTCTGCTTGTCTTTAAGTCACGCATTTTCTCGTCATCTTTTTATCAGATTCACGTACTTTTTAATTCGCTTACTTGTCTACTTCTTGCTCTTCTATGTGCCGTATCTTTTCAGGATATTGTCGATCATGGCTCTCCACAATTTCCTATCCTTTGTAGCTCTTATAAAATTTTGTCCTTTTCTTATCTCTCCTAAACCTTGCTCCGTCATCCATTTACTCAAGCTCAATCTTCTTCTATGTGCCGCATCCTTTCAGGACTTTGACGATTATGGCTCTCCACAATTTCCTGTCATTTATTACGCTTAATAAATTTTGTCGTTTTGTTGCTTATCCTAAACCCTGTCCCGCCATCCTTTTACTCAAACTCATTCTTGTTCTATGGACCGTATCTCTTCAGGACTTCGAGGATCACGACTCTCCACAATTTCCTGTCATTGTAGCCCTCTCCTAAACACTATTCCACCATCTATTTACTGAAGATCTCTAACTAGGTTATGCATTGTTTTCCCTCTGTCCTGAGAATATCAAATTTTCCAAACGACCTTTCCGCATTATATGCCCTGGAAATTTCAAATTTACACAAAATGATTGTTCTTCTATGTGTTGTGTCCATCAGGATGTTGGTGTTAATGGCTCTCCATAATTTCCTGTCCTTTTTAGGTTTTAATAAATTTTGCCTTTTTGCTAGCTCTCGTAATTTCGGTTCTGTCAATCATATACTCAAGCTTGTAGTTCTATCTGCACCATCCCTTCAGGATGTGGATGATCATGACTCTCCACAATTTCCTCTCTTTTGTAGCTCTTAATCAATTCTCTAGAGCACAGCATGTAGGTTTGGCGTTGATTTCTTCTGCCGTTCTTACCATATCTTGTGAGTATCAAATGCGCCCCAAAACATTTGAGCGTCTCTTTCTGATGGAAATTGTAAATGTCCGTTTTGTTGTCAGTGACTCTAGAATTTAGCCGTTGTCCACTAAAATAGTGGACAACGGCTAAATAAGAGTCAGAATAATACAATTAGAATATCCACAATGCAACAGACTACCCAAAATGCATCATTGCATATATATATATATAAAAATGCAAAAATACAACATTTGACGTTGATTTACCAAAATGCACGTTCCCATTGCATATATATATTGTATATATAAAAGTCCGAGAGCATAAACCTCATACAACGACAGATTGAAAGCGTTGATTTCAAAGATGACAATAGTCCGAATAATTTAAATTATAATCCTCATCTTTGATCGCCATATTGGCGACAAAAAGATGAGGACAATAGTCCGAGTAAATCTCAGATATTTCTGAAAGGCCTTTCGGTAGTCCGAATAATGTAAATAGTGTACATAATACCTCATCTATATTTATGAGAAACGTTTGTAATAAATGTGGCGACAAATTGAGGACAATAGTTCAGTAACTAAATTGTCCTCATCTTTGATCGCCGAAACGTTGTGATAAATTGGCGACAAAGATCACGAATAATGTAAATTTACATAATGGCTCGTTGAAATATAGACAGATACCGAAAGGCCGAAACGTTGTAATAAATATGGCGACAAAGATGAGGACAATAGTCCGAGTAATGTAAATAATGTACATAATACCTCATCTCAGATATATAGACAGATACTGAAAGGCCGAAACGTTGTGATAAATATGGCGACAAAGATGAGGACAATAGTCCGAATAATGTAAATAGTGTACATAATACCTTATCTCAGAAATATTGACAGATACTGAAAGGCCGAAACGTTGTAATAAATATGGCAACAAAGATGAGGACAATAGTCCGAATAATGTAAATAGTGTACATAATACCTCATCTCAGATATAAACATAGAACAGAAACGTTGTGATAAATATGGCGACAAAAAGGACAATAGTCCGAAAACGTTGTAATAAATATCATCTCAAAGATGGGGACAATAAGTCCGAATAATGAGGACAAAATAATAATGTAAATAACCTAATACCTCATCTCAGATATATAGACAGATACTGAAAGGCCGAAACGTTGTGATAAATATGGCGATAAAGATGAGGACAATAGTCCGAATGATGTAAATAATTTAGTTTACCTTTAAATTCTCTTATTCTTTGATATATTTTTTAATATATTCTTACTTATTATAAATGATCTAAATATGATTTCTTCTTAAGCTTGTTAATATATCTCATTTCTAAGTATAAATTGTTATTTTTAAGTTGGAATTTAATTTATCAATATATAATTAAAAAATTTTGTATACTATTTACATTATTCGGACTATTGTCCTCATCTTTGTTGCCATATTTATTACAATGTTTTGGCCATTGTACACTCTGGCCTTCTTCAGGTGGTTGGAATGTCAAACTGAAGCCTTTATTTCGCTCACTGGGGTAGACTGTTCTAGTTCCACGTGCCATCCCTAATGGATGTCAGTTATAATTTATCTCCTGTTAATTCCCCTTTCCATGTTATATGCCACTAACCATTAACCGGGTTTTGAACTCACACTATATTTTTTCCCTTCTTTTAATTCTCTTACATTCTCTTTCTCTTTATTTTATTTCATTCTTTTTTGCATTCTAGTTACTGCAACTTTCTCTTTTTTTCTACTTTCTTTTTCATTTTCTTTCAGATTCCTTAGTTTTCTCGCCACATGTCCTCTTTTTATTATTTGTACTATCTGCGTTTTTGCTATTTTTTGTCGATTCTCTTACTTTCGAAACCTATTTTCTTTTTATCACGTTCACTTATACTTTATTTCGATTCTTTTCCTTTCTATCGTTTCTATCACTTCCTCTTTCTCGTCAACTTCACTTTCTTTGTCTCTTTCTTTCTTGTTTTGTCGCCTCAAATATTTTTCTTATCATATCCCTTTTCACTTTATTTTACTCACTTTTTTTTCTTTTTCTTTCTCTTTCTATTGTCCATCAATTCCTCCTTTTTGTTTACTTTCACTTTCCTTTTAATTTACTACTTTTTCTTTTTCTCTACTTTCTTGCATATCATTTACTTCTTGTCTATTTTCACTATCCATTTTCGTTGACTTTGTTTCTTCGCTTTATCCACGTTTTCTTCGTCTTTTACTTCAATTTATTCGACTTTTACTTCCCTTATTTTTCTCACTTTTCTCTTTATATGATATTTTGTTATTTTTTGTCGATTTCTATTCACCCTTTTTTCTTTTGTCTTTTTCTATATATTTTTGCATTGGTGTTTATTTTGTCTACTTTCACTTTCACTTTTTACTTGCTTTCTATCCGCCTTTTTATTTACATTTTGCTTTTTTCCGTTTGCTTTTGTTTTTTTTTTCTAGCATTACTTTCACTTTATTTTTGTCCACTTTCTATCTTTTTTGTTTATTGACACGTTGTCGTTTACTTTCGTTTTTCTTCTACTTTCACTTTCATTTTCCTTCCTCTGTTGTTCCTTTCTATTTCTTCTTTGCTTTTTTTTTCTTCCGTGTCCTCCGTTCTTAAAATCCAAAAATTATTCCTGGATCTCATCTGTTTATACTCTCTCTTTCTATATCTCCATTTCTCTCTCTCTCTCTCTCTCTCTCTCTCTCTCTCTCTCTCTCTCTCTCTTTCTTTTCGCTGGCACAATTTTAATATATCGCGTAATTTTCTACAGTTTCTTCATTTTTCCCTGTTTAATTCATCTACGCTTCCCCGCTTTTTCCGTCGTCATTCATCATACCATTCGTCCAGAATAAGCTTATTTTTTTCCCCTTTTCTTTATTTCTTCTCTTCTATCTTCTGTTGTGGTTGCTTCCACTTCCTCTGTTCTCGCCATTGCCACCTTCAGTAACAGCTGCCTCTAAGAGTGTCCGCTCTCTGAACTCGACAAACGCTTCGACCAATGGAAGACCGGCCGATCCACTCCACAAAGTAATAATATTCCTCCTTCAGGCACCTAATGGATGCCATCGTGAAATGAAAATATACCTACATAATTGGTTTTTGTTCGGTTTTCTGTTTCCTGATCGAGTCCTGTCTCTTCATCTGCCTGCGAGTCTTTTACCAGTTTTTGTCTGTCAGTCAATCACTTCGTTTCTTTCTCCTTGTATCTGTTAGTCTGTCTCTCTTCCCCACTTATATATATCAATCTTTTCCTTTCCTTCGTTTACTCTTACTAAGTTTCTCTCTCTCTCCCTCTTTCTCCACTCACAATTCCTCTTTCTTAATCCTTGCCATTTTTTCCTTTCTCTCTCCTCTCACTTTTCCACTCTTGCTTGTGTCCACTCTTTCACTTTCTCCCTTTTCCTGTCTCTACACTCACTCCCTCACTGAGCTTCCTTTTCTCTGTGCCCCTCTCTGTTCGCGCCACTCCTCTTTCGCATATCTATATCAATCTTTATTTTTTGTCTTTTTCGCTCTCCTCACACTTTTCCTCACATTCTATCTCTTTTACTCACTTTCCGTCTTTGCTTTCACTCTTTGATTGATATTCCTTCGCTTTGTGCTTTTCTCTTTCCTGACCACTCCTCTTTCTCATATTGTTATCTCTTTCTCCTCTCATATTTCTCCTGTTTGATTTTTCTCTCTACCTCTCTCCCTTCTCTCTCTCTCTCTCTGTTTCTTATTCTCGTTCCCTAACATTGCTCTCTCTCGTTCTTTTTCTTAACTCTTCACTCTTTCTCTTCAACCCTAGCTGCAATTTCATAATCTTATCATATATATAGATCTAGGTCTGCTGTACACGGCTCGGTTTCAGCTCTGCTAGGAATGGTTGCAAAGGAATTTCATTGATCTTCAAATCAGTTTATCATTCAATGAACTCATTTGTCACATTTCCATAATTCGGTACCGCTTTCTTTGTGGCAGGAGGTGCTCAAACGCTTTGGTTGCGGAATCCACGGAACCCAGTGATGGATAAAGGAAACATACGGAAGCAAGCAAAATAAAGAGAAAGCGATAAAAAAAGAGGATATGTGCGGTAAAAGAGAAATGAAAAAAACTGAAAGTCGACAAAAAGACTGAAAGGATGGAGAATGGAAAGAAATAGAAGCGAACTAAAAGAAAAAAGTGAAAGTGATAAAAGGAGATGAGCGAAAAAAAAAACGAAAAGAAAAGAAATGAGGAATTGCCGTGCCTAGCTTAAATGCTGTAATTATGATTTAATATGAAAACAGTCAACGGCCAGGGTAGTGGAATCAACAGACATGCGTTTGTGACCAAGACGATTCCTCAAGTGTCCTGGATAAAACGATAAACTAAAGGGTTTCCAATAAATGGGTCGATTTTAAATGTGAATTAAGTTTAAGCGTCTAATAATTGTTTTTTATTTTTTCTTTCAGATTTAACAACTTAAGTCTTTGGTAATGTCAACTATGGAAAGATTAACAACCAAACAAACGTGTTAAAGTTATTGAAGCCTATTACGAAAATGGACGTTCAAACAGAAATGCAATGAGAAGTTCCCAGGTCGTTTCATCTCTCGAAACAGCAAATTACTGTACCTAGCTTAAATGCTGTAATTATTATTTAATATGAAAGCAGTCAACGGCCCAGGGTAGTGGAATCAACAGTCGTGTGTTTGTGACCAAGACGAGTTCTCAAGTCTCCTGGATAAGACGATAAACTAAAGGGTGTTCCAATAAACTGGACCGATTTTAAATGTGAATTAAGTTTAAGCGTCTAATAATTTTTTTTTCTTTTTTCTTTCAGATTTAACAACTTAAATCTTTGGCAATTTCAACCATGGAAAGATTAAAAATCAAACAACGTGTTGAAGTTTCAAAAGTGCAATTGGAAAAAATGTCTATAATGAGGGAAGAGGGTTTAAAAAATTTGACACTCACAGGATATAAAGGGTGTTCCAATAACTTGGACCGATTTTAAATGTGAATTATTTTCAAGCGTCTAATGATTTTTTTTTTCAAACTTAACAAAAGTCTTTGGCAATTTTAACAATGGAAAGATTAAAAGGAGCGTGGTACCACCCCTTAATTGCTGGTGTTCCCAGGTCTGCCCTGACCTGGGGTTGTAGCACCTTTTAGGGTCCCAACTATGGTCAAAACTGGGGTCAAAACACTATGAAAGTGTAAAAATAAGTTTTAATAACAGCAATACTTTTTTGCAAACTGTTATTACCAGCAATGAATTTCTGAAGATAAAATTATTACTAGCAATACATTTTGGTGAAAAATATTGCTAGTAATACATTTATGAAGGAAAAAATATTACCAGCAATAAAAATCTTGTCGGCATTAAATAAGATATTGAGGTTGATATACCGTAAAACAAAATAAACCAAATAAACCATAAAAACAGTCCTCAAATTTGAGGAAATCGTCTGTGGTTCATGCTGGAGTTGCAGGGACTCCACCGGCTCTAATTGGCCGACACGCTACGCACGAATGAATAGCACTCCAGCTTTCAAACTAGATCTATGGGGGCAACAGGTTCACAGCTGCACAACGGCACGAAGACCACACCCTGATAATGTTAATGATGACGATGGTTAATCGAGTTGAGAAATCTTAATCTACCCACTCCTACGATATTAACTTTGGTGTATTCACGGATAGTAATTAACGAGGTTGATCAGTACGACTGAGTCGTGAGTTCGATACTCACTGGGAACCCCATACTTGCGACCATGCGACCAAAGTAAGATAACCTTAGTAAATAAACTAGGAGCCTTACTATCGGATAATGGTTAACGTGTTAGTTTGGTTGTTCATTAGAACAGAGTAGTGAGTTAGATACACACTGGCTGACCCGTATTCGTGGCCTTAGGACAATACTAAGATAAGCTTAGTAAATAAACTAAGGGGCTTACTATCGGGTAATGTTTAAAGTGCTAGTTTGTTTGATCATTACGACTGAGTAGTCAGTTAGATACTCACTGTGTGCCCCATATTCGTGGCCACACGACAAAACTAAGATAAGCTTAGTAAATAACCTAGGTGCCTTGGTGTCGAGTAATTGTTAACGTGCTAGTTTGGTTGATCACTACGACTGATCTTACATGCTCACAGGGTGCCCTAAATTCGTGGCATAAGGTCAAAGATACTAAGATAACTAAGATAAGCTTAGTAAATAAAGTAGGGGCCTTACTATCGGGAAATGGTTAACGTGCTAATTTGATCATTATACGACTGAGTAGTGAGTTAGATACTCACTGGTTGTCTCATATTCGTGGCCTTATGACAAAACTAAGATAAGCTTAGAAAATAACATAGTGGCCTTACAATCATGTAATGCTTAACGTGATAGTTTGATCATTACGACTGAGTAGTCAGTTAGATACTCACTGTGAGGCCCATATTCGTGGCCTCACGACAAAACTAAGATAAGCTTAGAAAATAACCTAGGTGCCTTGGTATCGAGTAATGGTTAACGTACTAGTTTGGTCGATCACTACGACTGATCATTATGACTGTATAGTGTGTTTGATTCTCACTAGGTGCCGCATACTTTTTCATCTCGCGATGAAATCAAGCTAAGCTAACCTAGGGGCCTTGGTATCAAGTAATGAGCTAGTTTGTTTTGACCATTACGTCTGAGTTTAGTTCTCACTGATTAACGCATACTTGTGATCTTCTCATAAAAGTAATTTTCTAAGTACCATTCTCAGAGTGATATGATATAATTACTACGCTTTGCAATTATATTAGGTCACTACACGTGTTCTACGTGTACTATGTAAACCAATACAACCTGACGAATGGTCGACTCATCGAATTTGCCACTAGGCGTAGTAGACACCGAGCATGATTCAAAATATTATATCAAATGACGGGGAAACGTACTGGTTGAATCTATGTCAATTTAGTTCAATCTGATAAGCTGGGCCCCTTAGTTTGCTATGCAGCGAGTGCACTGTTAACACGGGTTCGCTGAGCGGAGGGCTTCTTGGGCTGAAGTCAAATGCCAGGATGGAGGATTCCCCCGGGTGGGATCAACGACCACGTGTCCGTGATCAAAACAACGAGCCTTTAAGTTAATATCAGCCGCATCTTCAGCTGCAGGGGGATGAGCTACTTACCCAAGGCACGCAACGCATGAATAAATACAGCCGTGGTTTTTAACACAGGTATATGGAGGGGACGACTCAGGTATTCAGCTGCGCAACGACCCTAAGACCACACCCTGTCATGGGACTGCGATGAAGATGAAGATGATGATGATGATGATATCCATAGATATTTTCCCAGCACAGATATTTTAGCCCACTTCCAATTTGAAATTTTTTTTTCTATTACTATTTCTAGGGAAAACGTTCTCTAAATTTAAATTTCTGTCTGTTCTCGTCCCTGGGGACAGAGGTGAGACAAAATCTAAGTTGGAGCGGGGAAGCGACAATTTTTATCTAACCACAGCTCTGCATATAGAAGCCACATTTGTCCTTGTAATGAATTTGTCAACGAAGGAGTTGGTGGCTGAGAGGAAATAAATATAAAATTATACGTATATACATCCATCCATCCATCCATATATATATATATATATATATATATATACACAAGTATAGGATTGGTGTATATGGAATAAATTCCAATCACCAACAAATGCAACTCTTAAAAGAGTGCTCAATACAGTGTAGAGCAAATATAATTATTTATTTAAAAATTATAACATAAATATGTTATAAAATCAATTTTATGACATATTTATATGTTATAAAATCGATTTTATAATATATTTATGTTACAATTTTTTAAATAAATAATTATATTTTATATATATATATATATATATATATATATATATATAGAGAGAGAGAGAGAGAGAGAAAAGGAGAGAATGTGTATATATATATATATATATATATATATATATATATATATATATATAGTTGTATATTTAGGCAGCAATCCTTCCTTTATGCATGTTCCATTAAAAACAACACAAGGTACTACGGCTAAGCCTTTTATTTAGTTTTTCTTGTGTTCGAACAAGAGCTTTCTTTTTTGGACAAAGGGGGTGTAAGAACTGTCCAAATGTCTTATACTTCCAAGCGCTTTCGGCTATACCTTTAGCCATTATCAAGGATGATTCGATTTTTAACTTAATTGAGTGTATATATATATATATATATATATAGAGATAGATAGATAGATAGATAGATAGATAGATAGATAGATAGATAGATACACCTAGTGAGCCAGACAAACCTACCTAGGTTTCACCTAAACGGATCGTCAGGGAAAGTTTGGCTTTCTACTAAGGATTGCATTAAATGGTGTGAAAATTACAATAAAAATAAAAAGTGCTCATTTATTAGGTATGATATTAAGGAGTATTATCCGTCTATTTCAGAGAAAACGCTAAACGAAGTCCTTAGCTTAGCTAAAGAAATTTATATTATTTTAAGCTCTTTTGTTAGTTAGTTGTTACTCGTATCGGGGTTTTTTCTTTGGGCTTCAGACCTGCATCTGTGCGATTTTTTTTGTTGGCAGAAGTTCATGTTTGTAGCTCTTTCTTTTTTTTAAAACCTTTTTTTCCCTCGAGATTGATTTGATTAGCAAATCAAAAATGAGGGTTTTTCGAAATGAGTATAGTTATATATATATATATATATATATATATATATATGTATATATATATATATATATATATATATATATATATATATATATATATATATA